TGTATTCTATACTGTTCAATACATGAGTTCATATCTCTCATTGTATTCAATACTGTTCAATACATGAGTTCATATCTCTCATTGTATTCTATACTGTTCAATATCTGAGTTCATATCTCTCAATGTATTCTATACTATTCAATGTCTGAGTTCATATCTCTCATTGTATTCTATACTGTTCAATACCTGAGTTCATATCTCTCAATGTATTCTATACTGTTCGATACCTGAGTTCATATTTCTCTTTGTATTCTATACTGTTCGATACCTGAGTTCATATCTCTCAGGGGTAGCTGAACTGATACTTAAGCAAATTGCAGAAAGTAGTACTACAGCAGATACAAATCTAGAAACAAAATATTAAAGTCAGTCATTTTCTATCTATAACTTATTATACTTACAGTAAAAACCAGAACTATGAAGACGGCTTTGTAACAACATCAAATAAATTTCAGTATTGCTATATATCGTCTTCTTAATCAACATTTATCTGGTTCCCACTGTACATTAATTTTTTTTAAAGTTCTACGGAATATTATTGAGAAAAAGGAATAATTTTATCAAACTGTCGTGATTCTATTTTCATGATTTTTTAGATTTCCTGTCCTTCTACACGTAAAATTAACTATCTCGAATTACATCCTGCACCTGCATCGAAATATTTCAATCTAAGTCACAATTTCTCAAAAATAGCGTAAATTTTAAAATATTTACTCCAACAAAAGCGTTGAAAATAGCAAATACTACAATTCTTTATTTAACGGTCGAAAATGGGTTTCAACGTTAAGGCTAGCTGACTTATTAACCAGGACTTCCAGTTTACCATCTGTCACAACTTCACAAGTTTCCACCACCTCATTTTCTTGCATAAAATCAAATACTGGGTAAAATAGATGGGCTGGTAAAGTTAACACCAGACAAGGCAATCCTTGTATATACTGGTGTAAAACATACAACTTGTGAACTGATGTCACGTGGTTGATGTACAAGTTTTATCAGATTAAATTTCCCTAATATTTTAAATTAAAAAATTTGATGTTAACTATGATCAAAACCTCATAAAGTAAATAAAAGCAGGTGAATTAGTTCCACATTTTTGAAAATTTCGACGAAAAATCACAAGAAGTTAAACAAATCAAAATCTGGATTGTCTGTTGAAGAGAAAAACAAGGAAAATTTGTAAATGATTGACAGCTTTCCAAATGTTAGATAAGAATATATTGACACATTGCTAGAATCACTGTTCTTTGTTGTTTATCATTGCTTTTTCTTGGACTTTTCTTCTTTTGCGATAAATCTTGATAGAAACTTTTTTAGTTTAATTCACGACTGGATTTGTGTCCCCGTTTCCCTTAAAGGGAATGTCGTTGTAATTTTAATTGATGATCCATTTTAATATGGGCCCGCCCGATTCTTTCTTTCATCAATGACGTGGGAGCTTTGTTCTCCTATTTTTAAAAAATATTTAATTGTGATTATTTATCAATTGCTTCGAAATAAAAACATGCACAATTGTCACTTGATACCATGACACCATTCTTTCGCAATAGAAAAAATTCCGAGATTTGATCGTAACAACCCAATCATGTCCTGGGGACAAAAAAAATCTGTTTTAAAAAAGTCACTTTATACTTAATAATTCATTTATGATGAACCAACACTTTGAAGGGTATATTTTTTGCCATGGGACACTTTTAAAAGTCTACAATGCAGTTCAGTTGGAAAATTTTACAGTTGCAATGATAATGTTTTGTATTTATAAAGATCATATTAAATCTATGTTTAGTTCCTTTTCAGAGTGTCTAAAATTTTAAAATTTTATCGTTAGTACGAAGGGTCGTCGTTAACGGACGTCAACGAAAAGGTCGTCCTTAATGGCAGTTAACGGAGAGATGTTGTTAACGAAATTGAAAAAGCCTATTTTTCGTAAACGAAACGACTTCTTCGTTTTTTTACGTCGTTAAATGTCGTTGTAATTTTTAACGAACCTCCATTAAGTAGATCAAGTTCGATCCATAGCAGCATCCTTTTGTATTTTGAACTTTGAAAAGAAGATACTTTTTGACTTTGAAAAGTGTTTAATTCTCATAATTTCCCCCTGCAAGTCACTTTTACTCAGGAACCACAATTAAAAATAATCAATTTTCTAAAGATAGAATCAGGGAATTGCTCATTCACTCTTGGCCAGACAGAGATTTCAAGTTTCGGGCGTAAATACGTGTACAGTCCCTTTATAATATTTTGTCATTTCAGGGAAAGTTTTACATTCTCAAAGGAAATTAATGAACATGAAACCTTTTTGTATATTGTGCCTTTATTGTAAAGTTTCATATTCTTCAAATTAATTTAGTTTTATAAAGTCTTTTCTTGAACACAATATGTTTTCGTAATATCACCTGACCGAACTGACCCCCTCCCCCATATTTTAACGTTAATTTTTAACGTTGCACTCTAGACATTTTTCAACATTTGTGATGATACAAAACGAGTGGGTTACCAAAATTCCATTCCCAAGCATCCAACCTTACGCGCGGGGGAAGGCAGGCCGTTGTGAGCCACAACCATTTCCCCTTCCATGCCACATATAAGCTTTTTTGTCTTCTAGCAGCCATGACATGTGACATGGGAGTACTCTCCTGTCGGGGGTAACCGTAGATAACCTAAGCCCTGGCTCTATGGAGTCTATTTTTTTCTAAAGTGCTACAACACAATGTACACAGATATATAAAACTTGATCCTGTAGATTGAGATCTTAGAAAGACACATATTTTTACCATTTTATTACAGAATTGTAGAAAACTGGAAAATCAAGCAATGTTTGAAATGCCTCGTCAGTTGAAGGCTGAATTTTCATTAATTAAAGAAATATCATGAACTTACCATTACATTTTAGAGAAATGAATTTAATTTAATCCAGTCACGAAAGATCTCTTTCTTTATTATTTTGACTGTATAATGTACACTGTACTGGGGTACCCACTTCAGAGACGACTATACGGAATTTGTTTAGTTTTTTTAATGACATAACTAGAGCTAGATGGGCATAGTTTTTGTGAACAAACAAAATATTTCTGAACAAAGTAAGTTTTCGCGAATGATGGTGTCAAACAAAAAGATAATTAAATGAACAAATTTTATCGTTTAGAGAAATAAAAACAAGCTTTTTTAAAAAATGAACAGAAAAAAACCATTTTAAATATCGTTAACGATTGTTTGGATTTGTTCCAGTCAGGTAAAAAAAGAACGGTTTCTAAATCTGACCGATCTCTCTGTACAACCGATTTTATTGAACGATCGTTCAGTGAGAAAACGAAATAAATGGAAAACTGACCGATAATTCTAATAACAAACAAGTTCAAATTTTTTTCATTGCCAAATTATTAACTATATTTCTGAAAAACTACATGCAAGCAATGCAGAAGCGAAAATTCAGATCAAAGAAAATATTTCTTTAAGGTTTATATTGTCATTAAAGTTTCCTATTTATATTTTAATAACATTCATGAATAAATTCTGAGACCATATGTTGGATGATAGAAATTACAAGTGTATTAAATATTTTCCCCGAATCGTTAATCTTAGAAGAAAGAATAATTATTTTCGTCTGGATTAGCTGAAATAATTATTTAATTCACCTAAAAGCCCGTTAGTTTTATGATTTACAGGTTGAAAGAAATTAATCTAAAAAATTTGGCAGTTCGATGTTTCAAAACAGTGCCATGTTTTAAAACCTCCCAGTCCCTAGCACCCCAAACTGTTAAAGTTAATGGTCTATTATTTTTTGGAAAAATTGGGCTCTGAAAGATGAACATGTATTGTAATTTTATACACTTTCTCTGAGGCGCAAGGAAAAAAATGTTCAGAACGAAATCCTAGAATTAAGATTTAAAAATTATTTCGGGAAAAATCATGTAATTTTGACCAATGTAGTTGCGCTTATTAGAAACCTGTAAATTTTCTTTTTCAATGTAAAAGAGTTTTAAAAGAAATAATAAGTTGTAAGGATTTGAGAATCTGCTTTTAACTCTGTTAACGCTGTATAATTTTCGATTTAACAAAAAAAATTTGTTTAAACTTACATTTACAAGTTTCTTAATTAACAATTAAGTAAAATAACCACCCGCTCTGCGACGGAAATTTTCGCAAGCAAATTTTTACATATGTGTTTTAGTTTTATTTATACTGACCAATTTGAAAAATACTTTTTTCCAATTCTAGATTTTTTCCCCTGAATTTATTGTCCAATAGTTGTCAATAACACAGTTGGGAGATTTCAAATGTTTCAAACAAATTGTTTTAACCGAGAAAATTCGAAATAAAAATGAATGGTTCGCAACAATTACACCATAAATAGATCGGCGCATTTTTTATCCGCTGTTTCTGTAAACTGACACTGACACTGAAACTGAAAACACAAGTCCATTTGAATTACTGGCCTGGCTGTTTTATGAAGACTTAGACAGAGGAAATTGTGTACAGTATCAGGGGCTTACGAGAGCATTTGTGATGGGGTGGGGGGAGGGGCATTCGCCCCCCCCCTTGACATCAGACAAGTGGACTCATCAGACAATTCCTCTTAATACTGTGGTGTAAGCTTAAAGGGGTAAAAATAGAGATGGAAACGTTTCTTTAAAAATATCTATATTTTCATAGGGTTTATTACATAAATAATGATATCAAATTTACATTTACACTGAAGGCAGTATTTATTGATCAATGCTTTTTTAATGAAACTTTTTCAGTTAAGGGCAAAAGTAAGATTTTTAAGTATTTTTTATTTATATGATGTTTTCTTAAATGGAATACATGCGTAATTTCAAGTGACCCTCCATTTATAGAGTGGCATGTCCGATGTACCTTTGAATCTTTCATTTCTCTATCGTTTCTGACGCACGAAATGCGCAAGTCACTTTTGTAGTGAAACCACAAATGAAAATAATCAGTTTTTCAAATGAGAAACATGGATATTTAATGCAATACTTGATCAGAAAAAGTTTTATAAAGGTTATTGTTGTGAATCAGCATTGAAATTATGTCTGCAGTCACTTTAAACCTCTCAATTGATTCTGTATTAATTTAAATGCTTTGCAGGTTTCTGTACTGCCTCCCAAATCAAGAATCAGAGGTTTTGTCCTCAACAAATCTCCATATATGCATGTAATATTAAAATGAGCCCCCAGCCCCCTGCGTGCCCCCCCTTCCAAGGGGGGGGGCGTGCATCCAGGGCCCCCTCCTCGTACGCCCCTGTACAGTATACGGTCTAAGGATGATAAAACGTGAAAGTACATTAAATTAATCATCCTCTTCTAGGGAGATTACTGTGTTACAGACAGTTTTTCCAGGTCCGGACACAAAACACAGGTTTATGTGAAAGAAAACCAATTAAGATAGAAATAGTAATATATAAAGATTATCTGATTTGTGAATATAAAAATTATGTGCGGAATGTTGATCCCTTTAACGAAGGGACTGTAAGCGTAATTTCAAGTGAAAATCCATGCAAAGATGGCAATGCCCGATTCACAACGGTACACTTGAAACATTTACCTGATCAACAATATGAAAGATTTTGTCGTTTTTCTTAATTCTTAATTCCGGTAGATCCTTTGTGCTTTCCTTATTTTACCGTTCTTTTTGTGCAATTCTTCATTTATTTCCCAGTCCCCTGGAAATTTTCCAAATTCACCCCCTTGCCCTAATTGAAACTTATATCCGATTCGTGAAATATTTTCCAGCTGAGATTTAGCTTCGATTTCCCAGGCTAGCTAGGCGATGAAGTCGCAGCTAAATCACAACTAGAAAATGTTTAACGAATCAGATATTTGCAACGCTACAATTGTGAGTTGTGACGTTATTCTTCATTGCAGTTCGAAATGTACTAAACATCAATCGGAACAAGCAGGAGCGTATTGGGGGGAGGGCGAAAACCCCAGGCCCCCCTAGAAAGGCCTCCCTGTAGGCCCCCTGACCCTAATATACTTTGCTTATCTGTCTGTCTGGGTATCTGTTTGTTTGTATCCACTAAACGTCAAAATCCGAAAGGGTCCAAATTTTGTGTCGGACATCACGTAATCCAGTCCCAAGGGAAGATTTATGGGGATGAACGAATTTTCAAAAAGTTGCTAATAATACGATTCGATTTTTGATAATTTTAAAAATCCACAATTTTTTTTTGATAAAATCTGCAGATTTTTTTGTGTATGTATTCAAAGCGAAAATGTTTGCAAATGAAATAGAATATGGGCACGAAGCGCCCTAAAAGCCTATTATATTGAACTTAGATATATTTGTTTTCTTAACAATTGACAATTTGTACATTTTAAGTTATCAGTCATTAGTAATGAATTTAAAACGATATTTTACATGGGGGGGGGGTACAACGACCACTACAGGGTGAAAAAAGTAATATATATTTTCTTGACCATTGTTCCGAACCTCATTTTTACCTCAGTATTTGGTGTTTTTGTGCGAAGAGGCAAATTTAATGTTTAAAACTTTTTTTCCCCCTAGAGGATCAAAGTTTATTTGCCGAGGGGGGAGAGGGACAATTGGTCAAAACAAATACCCCTGTTAATACAAAATTTTCTGGTTTAAGAATCTGTTAACCTCATGTTTGATGTGTGTTGAGGAGAATGAACTATCTGGATGTTCAGAGATTTCCTCCCTTATATATACCCTCTCTCTTCATTCATAGATCTATCTATCTATCTATCTATCTATCTATCTATCTATCTATCTATCTATCTATCTATCTATCTATCTATCTATCTATCTATCTATCTATCTATCTATCTATCTATCTATCTCTCTATCTATCTATCCATCTATCTATCTACCTGTCTATCTATATATCTAGTTATCTATCTTTATATATAGCTATCTATCTATCTATTTATGTGTTATCTATCAATTCATCCGGCAAGAAACCACCATCACTGGAGTACTATCGGAGACCCCTTCTAATCCGAGACCCCCAGAGTTTTATTGTAGACCCCAATCTTACAGAATTTATTTTTATTCTTATATTTTATTCCCTGCAACTGAAAACATTTAGTTGGCAAATAATTAGAGAAATCATTAAGAAGTATATTCAAAGCAGAATACTTAATTCAATCTTGAAATTATCCTATTTTCAGATTTTCAGGTCGTCTTTACAGTCTCATCCTTTGTGGATAATCCTGCATTGAGCGTTCGCTGAAGTGACTAAAATGATCTTGCATTTTAAAATTTTTGTCTCAATTAATATTGGCAGAGAAGTAAAAAAAAATAAAATTATATGAAATTATAAATTATATATAAAGATTTTAAAAAACGGTAAATCTTAAACTAGTGGATAACTTTAAGTTTATGACTTGTAATAAAATTTAATAATTAATAAAAGTTACAACTTAAATTGTTTTAATCTGGGATTCGTGATATAAAAGAATCATTTGTTGATAAATACTTGTGACCTAATACTTTTTTCAATGGTTTTCTTATGTCCAAAACATAAGCCCGCAAATTGGGCTTATAGAAATTTTGTGTATTTGCTTGCGTTCTATACCTAAAGATACAAAAACTAAAGGATCTGAGCCTTCGCCACAAACTCTGATATTCTAATCCCTTTATCTTTGCAACCCAATTTCGTAAACCTTTGATATTTCAAACTATTGATTGTGTTAGATCAAATAATCATAGTTTGAAATATTAAAGGTTTAAATAATTGGATTGCAAAGATATAGTTATTAGAAGTTTTGAGTTTGTGACAAAGACTCAATTCCTTTTGCCAATTTTCACGCTACATTGTTTCCATTCTGTTGTATACTTTATAACACTACTAGCTAGGGAACCCAGCATTGTCTGAAAACCTAACTTTCTTTTTCAATTTCTTAATTCACTTAATTTAGAAAAAACCATGCTAACATTTCCACAGGTCTATTGAGTTCCCTAATCAAAATTTGAGACAAATCGGTCAAATTAAGAATTGACGAGTTATGATCGAACAATACGAACAAACAAACAGAGATCTATGCTTTATATTATAACATATATGACGCATTACTTCATTATGTTTAAACCTGAGAAAGAATTCAAATTCCATAAAATACTTTTTGAAGTTTTTATTTTGAAGTTTTTATTGACATTTATTGTTCTTTTTTTGTTTAAAAACTTTTGGCGGCAAAATTTTCATTTTTTCCGTTTTTTTAAGCCATCCATTGATTATTTACTAGGTAGACCTCTAGCCATCCATTGGTTATTTACTAGGTAGACCTAAAAAAAAATTTTGGACCCGTTTTTTCGGATATATTGGTTAAATATAAACCAAAATATAAATATGATTTAAAATATAATAATAATGATAATATATATACTATATGTAGATATAAGGCGTACATAATAATTTATAAGATACAATTTTCTTCTTAATAACTACACTAGTACCTTTATTATAACTAGTTCATTGACCAAAAAATTCACAGTTTTTTGAATAAATTTGACTTTTCGTTTTCTAAAAATTAGAATATTTTTAGATTTTTTTATGACGTAACATTGAATGAAAAGATTGTCTGACTCGCGGAATAAAAGTTTAAATATATCGTTTATATAAATTAATTATAAGTAGAATTTCCAATCATACTCTCCCATATATCGTGATAACGTTGAAAATTAGATTAGAACATGTATAATCGAAAAAAGAAAATTTAGTTAGAATAACCTTGGATCAATAAAACGTTTTTTATGTCGTCGGAAATTATTTAATAACATTTTTTTAAAGGTTCCAAACAAACAAGCAGACAGACAAGCAAGGTTTAAAATAAGACTATTTTGCACATATGGCATACTCTGTCCTTCACTACGCGGTTTCTCTTATATAATTGTACCGTAATGATCGGTTAAACTTAAAAACAAATTAAATAAGTTTTTTTTATTCTTTGTTTCAGGTTTGTGAATAGTTTTTGTACGGAAAAAGTAAAAAAAAAATTATAAAAAATAGCTTTTTTATCCCTGGGTATTTTTATTAATTTTGCGTAGAATACATGACACGACAGCATTTACATTTTTTTTAAATAGGGATTTGGAAAATTTCCCAGATACCCAGGCATTTGGGAAATTCCCCAAATTCCTATAAGCATTTGAGGGTGGTATATTTTTAAGATTTTGGAAACTCAAATGACTGGATATTTGGGGAGTCTCCCAAAAACCTAGGTACTTGGGAAGTGACTCAAATGTCTGGGTATTTGGGGAATTCCCCAAATGCCTGGGTTTCTTGGAAATTTCCAGTCATTTGAGAAATTTCCAAAATCTTAAAAATATACCACACTCAAATATCTAAAGGTATTTGGGAAATTTCCCAGATACCCAGGCATTCGGGAAATTCCTATTTTTGACATTTCTGATAATTGCTGTCACTCCCTCTAGAATACAGTTAATTGCAATGATTGAAATCTATCTTTAATTATTATTTTTGTCGTAAAATTCAAGGCCAAGTTTTTAACGTTTTTAGTTAAAATTTTTAGTTTGTTAAAATTATTACTCAGAAAGGGGTGCTTAAAGGGTACTGTAGTGAATTAGACGCTCCATTCTTCAAATTAAAATCACAAAAAAAAACTTTTTAAACATTTCAGTTATGGCCATCTGTAGATAAACGATATCATTGATAAAAAAATATCTGGAAACATGGTTAAATTTTTGCTACACAAAATTGTTGAAAATGAACGCTTTCATCTATTTTTGTAAAAAATTTTACAGGGTGAAAATTAAAATAATATATTATTTGTCTAAACCTGATTTCTTATCTACAACTTTAAACTAAGGTTTCTTAAATCAGATGAAAAAAATCTTTTTTTGTTTATATTTTAATTCAAATATACATATTTTACGATAAATCCAATTTCTACAGAATATAAGAATATTACATTAAGAATAAAACTTTACAATTGTACAGATTAAACAAGTGTATGTTGGGTACACCTCATTACATCTTTTTAAGATTGGAATCATTAACATAATTAACAGGGAATATTGAGAAGGGAAATGGCGCACATAAGAACACTTGTAATCTAATATAAGTTACTAGGCTAGCAGAGCACTTTGCGCTCATTTTCTATTTTAAATTTTAACGTTTGCTCAATCTTTTAGCTTTAATTCGAAAAAATCAGCGTTAAATTTTTTTTTGTTAATTCTCAAAATTTTACGAAAATTGATATAAACCTATTCTTGGGTTATTGGATGTCCCCCAAAAATGTGGGCCGCGGGCCCGATCTGTTCAGCCGTTTGGACGTTTATTGATTAAAAACAAAAAGCAAACAAACAGTCAAGCAAAGTGTTACGCGTATATTCTGAGCTTTCGAAAATAGTCAAACTCACCAGTGTTTAATGAGACTCACTGTAAATGTGAGTTGGAACCTTCTGATTGGTCTGATAGAGTCAGAATATGTAAGATCATCTATTATTGGTTCTCCTTACTGAAAGCTACCTGAGAAATGATAAATCAGACTCATTCTTGAGACGGGCCTTGGTCGATTAACATTTCATGTTACTTGCCCCGTCACTTGCATTGTTTGTCAGATTTATTATTTCAGATATTCTATGCTTGAGTTAAGACAGAAACCCTTTTTTATCCATTGATCAGGACGCCAGCATATGTAAGTACGACATTTGTTTCTGCGGCCTTATTTTAAATTTCCCGCTTGCATTAAAAGGAATATGCCCCGTAGGTTTCTCATTCCCACATGTCAGATACCGCGAAGTCATGATAAGCAGTTTCGTTTATCCTTTTGCTTTTGATGATATATTTAGTGTTTTTATATGATTAAGATTGTTCTTTTTTTTATTAGATTTGATTCTACAGTTCGTAAGTTACAGAAGAATGATCTAAGTTGAGAATTTGGAGTAAAAGCTTACAGGATACAAATATTCGGTCACCTAGGATGGATTCTAGGTAAAGGGTTTTATTATATATCGACGAATTTAGTTTTGAGAAGGATTCGTCGCGAAACACAAAGTAGAATTGAGCTAATATCTATAAATATTCTGAAAGATTTTGATGCATATTTAACGGGAATACAATTAAATTGAAATAAAAATTTATACAAATTTACATTTACGTAGAGAACAACTGTGTTTACAAATTAATGCAATATTTTTGTTAAAATACTATTTTATAAACTTTAAAAACTGATTTTTACGGTCGATAAAAAAGGTGTTTTCATAGGACTTAAGACACAATTTTAAATTATTTTCTATTTAGAATGCGTCGATTCACTACTAATGTACCAGCAAAAAGAAGCACTGGATGAACATACAGGGTGTCCCAGGAAACATGACAGTTGGTGAATAGTTTTGAATGTCTTCTTTCATATACTGTATTAGATATTAAAGACTTTTTGTAGTTTATTATGCTAAAAAAATCTTTTACTCAAATATATTTTACTTGGAAATTAATTTTACTCAAATATATTTTACTTGAAAATTAATTTTACTCAAATATATTTTACTTGGAAATTAATTTTACTCAAATATATTTTACTTGGAAATTAATTTTACTTTAAGATGACTCCCATACAATATTTTTTATTATTCTCTTTGGTATCAAACAACTTAACAAATTATGGAAGAAGACATTTAAACCATTCACCAACCCTCATGTT